ATATCCTAGTACTGGTGGCAGATACACAGAGTCCGCACGCGATTCCATAACATTTGTTGAAATAAGTGGCAATATGCATAGCATTTAGGAGTGTAACAGTCAAATAAATTGAATAAGTACCTTTTCAAAGTGATCAAATTATGAAGCATTAAATAGACTGGTGGAAAGGAGAAACCTTAGGAATCATGTTCTGTGTGTCCAAATTCTAGTTGGAGACCATCACTATATGTAAAAGAAATTATGAAACCTCTGTTCCTTTCATATTTTATAGAATATTTGGTAACCCCAACCTAAACTGTCACTCCCCTCTCTGCTGGTTACCACCAAAAGTCTCCAGCCCTTGTTGATCAATATTTATCCCAACCCCCTATACCCCCTATACCCCCTATTCCCCATATTCCCCACTCTCAGACCACCACTGCTCCCACTCATCCATTCCTAATCCCCACTCTCAACCCCCACCCCATATCCCTCACCCCTAACATCATGACCACCCCCCCCATCCCCCCATCCACTAGCCTCTAGCCTCTATCCCAGGCTAGCCCCTTCCCAATTCCTCGCCCTCAGTCCATCCTTTATCTGCCCCTTTCAGATTCAATTCATGTATCTACCACTATACAAGTTATGAATTTGAAACAAAAGCTTAATTTTTGCAAGCATTTTAAATAGTCCAATGGTTTGTTTAAAGTTCAAAATCCATGGTTAAATATATCTAACATGTTGTTAAACAATGGTGTTCATGAAAATATGTATTTTATTAGGAAAATTATTACCCCTCTCCCCCATCCTTTCCTTTCCCCCCACAAAAAAAAACCTTAATGGATACGTTTTTTGATATCGGTGGATGTATAGGGGGTCCCTAACACGTTTATCAGTGGCTATTTAATATCTCGGTGAAGCTTCAGATAGGATGAAAGGTATTTGTTTACAAATGATTGTGATGTGCAACGTCAAGATCAAAGCCTGAGGTATTGATTATAGCGTCAGATAGCTTTGCTTGGATCTCCAAACAGGTAATTTAAGATAATATATTGATGTTCTGAGCAAATACTACAAACTGTTTTCGTGAAATAATTCAATTAGAAAACTGGTATCTTACTTTAAGTATTATTGCCCCTATTCCTCAATGGATGACCGAGTGTTTGTTTTAGTATAACACATTAGCAGGCTATGAATTTTGTTTACATTTGTTGTATTGAATCAAGGCTTTGTTAGCGTAAAGAAATATTAGACCAAGGTAAACAATTGCTGATTATTGTTTAGATTGGTAATTTGATATAAAGGGTATATTCACGATTATCTTTAACAAACAGATAGAATGTTGATGAAGATAAACTTCACTTTGATAGAGTGAAAAAACATAATTGAATTAAAATAATTTTATGGTTGTGGAAGTGATGATGTCATAGTGACGGAGGTAATATTGATTGAAAACAAATATTACGATTATTACAGATTTTTCTGAACCATTTTATCAGTCTTATATTTCCCGTAAAGAGTATCTGTCCGTATCCGTCGCGCTCGTTAATTACCCACATTATCGCTAGTTTTGTATTTTTGCTGCCATATGGAGAAATTGGCTTTTAATTACCTCCCCTGCTTTCCCAACCAGTCGGAAGCAGTTATGCAATTAAGATCAAAGGCGTGATTATGGTCATCCTGACTCTTGTATATAATTATCAAGTAACAGATGTTGTACCAACGACATTTTTTATTGATGAAAAATTATCTTGATGACACTTGAATGGCCTAATGATTACGATGCAATGTTAGCTACTGGTAATGTTTACCTGAACCGATGTGCCCAGCTTATTATTCATTATATGTTAACACAGAGTATTGGGCAAGTTTTGTAATGTATCTTATTCTTGTGTATTGTATAAAAATATGTCATTAATTTTCTAATGAACTGAATTTACTTAAAATCAATTTCTTGGACACTTGCATATTTTTCTGTCAAGTTAAAGGATTTTTCCAATGCCTGGCCTATTTATTCTATATTTTCATGGCTGCAGTTCTTTGTAAATAATAATGATCAATTGTATGAAAGTTGTTATGATTTTAAAAGAGAAGTTTTTATTCCCTACCCTGATGAAGATTCAATGGCCTAAAATGTCATCTATTTAACTTGAATTTTGAAGGAAAAACTGAAAAAACATTTAAAATAATGGAAATAATTCAATTGATAGTGTGTAGTAAAATGGAAATTTTTGCTGTGTGAAAACATTTGTGATTTTGCATTGAGTAAATAAGCGCGTTTTCAAAAAACCATTGCCGACACGAACATTTCCACTCTGCAACCAGTTTTAAGTGCCACAACGCAAACATATGTCGACATGCAAGAATTTCAATGTTTACATTATATAAGAAGAACAAATACATTATATAAGAAGTACAAAGTATAATGTAAGGAAAAACAGAAAAATGAATTCAAAGTGTCTGACACATTCTCACAAATATACCTTATCTGAAGAATTTCGTGTTTAAATAGACCAAGTAGCTTTAACACATACCTGATCATTACTGATATCGGTAATTAAATCAGATTGATGGAGAAGTAATTGATCTGTTCTGACAAAGGGCTTTCAGTTTTTACCTGTATTACCTGTGAGTTACCTGTGTGTGTTACGTATACCTGTGTGTGTTACCTGGCGTGTTGGAAAGCTCTGTAATCAAACTCACAGGTGTTCAATTGTAGCGGATACAAATTGTAAATATTATGTCAGGTGAGAGTATTTGTTTGAAGGAAACAAAGCATGTGAATGAGTCACAGAAATCGAAATGAAAGCCTGCATCACAACTGTACAATGTTGTATTACAATAAACGATGAATACCTGTCGCCGTGGAAACCGTATGCCTGTCGTGTAAAACAGTTTTTAATGGCACTTTTATTTCATTTCTGCAATAATATGACAATTTAGCCCAACTATCAAACACGGCTCGCTGTAATAAAAGAGAAGACAAAAAAATTGTCTTGTTTTTTTATATCCTGTCTAATTATTCTGGAAGGTATGTTATGCTAATTATGACATTATTAAAAAAAATAGGATGTTAAAAAATTGAGCGATGTAATCATTTGAGGTAGCGCTTTGTAGGACAATGATATTTTATTTCCCATTCAGTACTTAGTTTGACAAGTGCTCCCTGGCCTTGAATACATTGCAATAACTGCAAACACAGAATGAACTGTATGTGTGCAGTTATTCAAAGTCTCTGTCCAACTCGAATGGCCTTTGATGCCGAAAGCGAAAACTGCACCCACCTGCACATTGGTCTTCAAACCACGTCAAACACTTTTGACCTCAAAGTCAACCAGGGCTGCATGATTCTTTCAGTTTTGTGTCATGTTTTATAAGTCTGGTCCTAGAAATGTGATCATATTAGCCTCAGCTCAAATCAAATATGGAAATACAAAATCTGATAAGTTTCTAGAACTAAACCCTATTTCACGCTATATATAACACAATCATTCATGACTATTTGTGCAGCAGAGTTTTGGAATTGATAAGGGGAAAAAAAGGAAAAAGTAACCTTGAAAAATCTTAGTGATAGCAAGGTGGCAATTTAAAGAGGGGCATTATATCAAGATTTTACTGTAGTCTGAATGGCTGCTCTTATAAAACTGCTGAATTGTAAAATTCCACATAATCTGGTGACAGCCATTTTTGAGACATTCTAGGAATGCCTAAATTAGTCCCGGTTGGATATGTCACCTTACAGGAGTAGGCCTGACCTCACAAGATTTCATGAGAATTTTATACTGAATAGCCAAGAGTCCTTTTTGGAGGTAAACGATTATTCGAAATACTGACGAAAGCAGTTGTTCCCAATAGAATCCTTGACAACAGCTCTTGAGTTCACTTTGTTTGGCTTTGCCCCAGGTCCTGTGCACTGTAGAGGATACTTGTCAGACGCAAGACAAATCAAGTGTGTTGAGGTCATTTCGTCTTATTTTTCGTGACTTTTCATATCAAAATCTAACCAGTTGGCAGCAATAATTGGAGTCTTGCAATCTGTGCATGGTTTTTGGAAACAAGCAGCTTTTAACTTTCTACAATGAAGTTAGGAGCAGATCAAGGATTTGTAATAGGGGGTGAAGTGCATCAGTGTTAGGGTTAGGGGCACAATATTGTTCAGTTTAGAGGCCTTGGAGAAAGTTGCTGAGTGTAGAAAATTTGAAAAGTGAGGTTTTTTTTTTGAACACCAATTGACTTAGACTTTGTTTAGGGGGTGGATGGTGGTGAGTAGAAGGTTATTTTTTAAGAGAATTTGCCTTCAACATTTTGGTAACATAAAAATATTGTCTACAGAACATCTACACCACCATTATTCAAATTTCGATGAAACTATGTACATAGGTTCAGTACATTGTGGAATTGTGTCCCATTAAGGTTACTTTTTCGTTTCCGTTGGTTGGTTAGGAACAGAGATGGTTTTATTTCAGTTGAGTGTTACAGTTATCATAAGTAAATGCATATTTTGTTTAGTGTATTGTACAGTTCAAATAAAAATATAACTCCTAAAAGTTGATTGTTTGCAATGAACATTGCTTTGTTTAAAACACAATGTTAAATAAAAAAAAATGTCTTGTATCTCGTGAAACAACGATAGAAGAAGAAATTACTAAGTGATGGTCACTCATTGGGGATTGCCAGAATATGTTGTGAAATGTTTTTGCCAGAATTTCTTCTATTTGCAGATGTACACGTATGTGCAATTTTGTGTTTTCTGTCACAAATATTTATTGCTAAACAGACATCGTCTTTCTGATCACAAAGATCATGTTTCATGAAGGTGTTGCATGTTTGAGAAAATATTTTTATTGCTCAATATTTGTCTGAACATGTCTGACGTCTTAGTATTTCTGAAGTCAAAATTAATTATTTTCTTCTAATTTTTTTATTTTTTTTCTGGTGTAAAACAAGGTGGAGCGTTAAAGCCATAATTATTTTAGACCAAGTTTTCAACATTTCTAAACATTTCTTGCTTTATTTTGCAGCTAACGAGAAAGTGAAAGACATTAAGAGCAAACCCAAGAACTCCGCACAGATGGTAAGTCATATTGTTTCTTTACAGATTTAAACTTCACGGACCATTAGCCATACTGTCCTTGGCATTACCTATGAATAGATCTGTACTCGCATGAACGAATTTTGTCGACAGATTTTATGAAACGCATCCATGTGGAGCGTGTTGCTTGATGAAGCTACTTTTTGATCAAAGGTCGGAGACTATTTTATTGTCAAATAAATTTTAAAAAGAGAAAAAAAATGAATTAACAAATGAATAATAGCTGTGTTTAAACAAATTAAAAACCTGTGTTATTCAGAATTCCGGTCATAACGGTAAAATCAAAGCGATTTCATAACCGAGTCAGTATATTTCATTCAATTTTAACTTTTTTCAGAATTGTACCTGATTTTTGCAATAGATATGAGAAACAGTTTGTTTCTTTTTAAATCAACACTCTTTGAACTCTTGTTCAATTTCAAGGCAGACGTTCAACCAGTATTTTTTTTCTAATCTAAATACTTGGACATGTGTTCACATTGCATGTTAAAAGTGATGAATTTCACAAATGAGAACAAGTTTTTGGTTCATCGGTTGACAGAATTTGTACATTGTATGCACAGCAGACGACCTGGTCGTTAATTTGTATGATCATCTCGTGGTTAGACTGCCACAGATCAGATCTTCTAGTAAGATGGGTTGCCAACATGCAACCAAAATTAATGATTTTGTTAAAAATTGACAACACAAAATAATTGTGCCAATTTTATGAGAGAGAAAAGAAAAGAAAAAACTTAAGTTGAATAATGAACATAAATAATAACTGGATAATGATAAAATTAATGAAGAATGTTACTAATGAAGGATGCCCTACGTGGGGCAGTTACCAGGCAATGGTCGCAGGTCGGTGGTTTTTTTCAGGTACTCTGGATGCCTCCACCACCAAACAAACTAAACAAAACCGTCGATATATTGGCATAGACATCCGCCATACCAATGGTTCTCCATAACTTCTTCCCAAATCTGAAAATTAAAATGAGCAAGCTTCACATTTACAGCTAGATATTGAAAGACAAAGAAACCTCACTTTTGTTCTTTAGTAGACTGAATATTTATAAGAAGTTGCGATGCAATCGAAAAAAAAAAAAATCTTTCATTATTTCTCATTTTCCAAGACACCATAGCGTCTGGTGATATTTCCACGATGATGCTGAGTTTGCGGATTTCGACATTGATATTTAATTGGCATCATCTTTGATGGTTTAACATTAGTGCAGTTTGAGAGCAATTTCTGTGCAAAGACAAAAATAACTAGCACAACCCAAGAGAACATTTCAATTGTATGGAAATGATATTCAGCAAAATAATCAACTTCCAATTCTGGGGAATTGAGATGGATCCATCGATTCATCTTCCAAGTATTCTTTGTGTAGACAGATAAACGTCTGGATTCTAAAGGTCAAGATGTTGTGGACTCTTCGTCGCTATCCTGCAGTCCTATTATTAGCAATCCCGGGTGATCATTCCTACCATCCCAATTAACTTCTAGAGCTTTAAATCACAACGCCAACTGAATAAGTCCTCATGTATTGAAACACAGTTTCGACTTTGATATCTAGGAAAGATTTTAGTAGGTCAGTTTTATTGTATGGTGATCGGGTTTCATTTGAAAATTGAATCCATGACTGTAGTTGTCTTTTTTCTATCTCGGAGTCAAAGGAAGGGCCTGTAAATTGTTCAAGTATGTGCTAATCATAGTTATTTAAAATCTGTTCCATTTAAGCAGTGTATTTAGCCCAGTAGTCCTTTCACTCGGAAAAAGTTTTCCATGTCGGTAAACAGGCCGGGGGCGTCAACTGATAAAAGCCCTGTTATCAATCGCGGCTCCGAATCTTTTAAGATAAAAAAATAAAAACAGAGTGTTCAATACTAGGATTTTAAGCTTGTACAAAGATTTTGCATAATTGATTTGGAAAATTTTGGATGCTCCCTGCTGGGTTTTCTTTATCAAGTTGGAAAATTCTGTTTATTGTTAGGGATTACTCCACTATCAGTAATTTACTGACTGAGGTCAATGAAATTGTTTATCATGCTTAGGGGATCCCCCAGAAAATCCATTAACTGTGACACGCATCATCATCAGTAGATTTCAGTCTTCTCAATCTTTCTGCCTTAAATACCACACACAATTTCATTCAGAGTACTGGCCCTTGGCTGAACTCTTCTTGTTGTTTTGAGAAAGTTGTTCTGATAATATGAACAAGTCTTCAGATACCGTTTTTACCGTGACATTGTTTACACTGCCTGGTTTCTTGGGAGGATATAAATTTTAAAATTCGACATTTCTCTTGGGTTAATAAAATATTTAAGAATGAATTTTCGAATGAAGTACATTTTGTATCAATAATCTAACGCGTTTACGTACAATTTCACACTTTTGGAAAATTATCAAATATTCGCTTCACTTTCTGAAATATAAATGATATTCATTAATGTGTCTTATTTTCAGTTCAGATCTGTTTCAATAAATACTCATTTTAATTTTGTCTTCATTATCCTGAATGCAAAAATGTGTGTAGAGATTCCTTTAATTAAGGTCTTCATGAAGTCAAATCTTTCTTGCAAAATGAAAATTAAAAAAATTAATAAAAAATGCCTGATTACAACATAAGTAACTTGTTAAATCTTAGCTGAATAAGCAAATGAAACAAAAGCAAATCCGGACTTTTTAATACAAGAATATAATTATTAACTGTATTTTTCTGCCGGTGGAATTCATTTTATCTACAAAATCTTTGAAATTGTTTATTATTTTCAATATTTGAGAGCTTATAAAGAAAGATTGGGGCAGTAGAATGTATAGGGACGTTTATTAAGTAAAATAGTGTAGGAGCAATTAGATTCTAAATATTGATTTTAGACTTGTAAGAATGTAACAGCTTTCAGTAGGTGTGTGTATGTGTATATATAGAGGTGAAATCTACATTTGTTGATTGCTATTTCAGGGAGCAACAGGTTTAGATGTTGATTTCATCAGACCTGTATCAACACTATAGCTGTCTGGTACCAATAAACACCCAAGTAGGTCTGCAGTTTAATTTTAGAATCCGTGCAGTATATGTCTTCCAAAAGCCAGAAACTCCTTGCACTTAGAAAGGCCATCGGAACAATTTCTGCTGTTTGAAATGTTATCAAGAATAATTTTGGAGGAATGTTGCGTTTCCATACGACTAGAATATGGGAGGTAGAACAGATAAATCTATCATACCTTCAGCAATGAAATATCACCTTTGCATATTTTCTATGTCTGTCGGGAGCACTTTTGTTGTAAAAATAGACCTTAGAGATGATACTTAGGGCATTTCATAACTAATATGCGCTATGTCTGTTCTCCTAGGGAAAGGAAGTCCAGTTCAGCGGTGTAGCTTTTGGTTACATAATATTACTTTACATGACAAAACCATCAAAATTAACTATTCTAGGAGATAAATGGATAGGTAACGGTAACTTTGATATTTATTGGAATGGCATGTTCTTAGATTTTTTTAAAATTTCTTAAATAAATAGATTTAATCAATACTTCCTCCGCTACTTGAAAAATCATCATATTACATACATGTGTCGTTGCTAATTCAGTTTTGACATGACCCACTGCTTTAAGCGAGAAGAAATGGAAAAATAGATAAGTTTTTGAATAAATGGAATAATCAATTTTCGATATCATTCTTTTCCTAATTTTTATTCAGTTGTTCTTATTGTGTGAAAGAAGTATTCAAGACTGTCATGAAATGCGCACCAGAGTATTGCAGACTTACTTACATATATTGGTACTCATTTGTACAGCTAGGTAGATTGTAACAATCAAGAGCCATAAATTATCATCAGAGACAAACTCTAACATATAAATCTTTGCAGAAAAGTTTACACTGCAAAAGAGCTCAATACAAAATAAATTTCATATTTCCACGATTTTTTTTCATTTTTTCGAGGTGGGGGAGGAAGATGGGGAAATGACAACATACATTTATGTAGAAATCCTAATCCATCTTTTGATATGGGATGATGTTTCAGGTACATGTAGACTTGAAATTTGAATAAATATTGTAATCCCAGGTGAATACATGTCATTTGAAATAATTATTAATGAATAAACTGATCCGTGTTGATATGTAAATACAATGAAGATAAGATCATAGATACTGGTGTCGCATACTCTCGAATATCAACTGGTTTGGTGGCCTGAATTATTCATCCTCAACTTTAAAACTTAATCAATAATGTTTTGATGGGGTAGGACATATAACGGCCTCTTCCCCCTTTGTTGGTCTCCTGCTAGACCCATAAATATTGATAATGACATTAAAATTGATTGTCAAATCTCCCCAGTAGAAAGTTACGAAACTAAATTTGTTGGCTCTGCATGAAAATCGCACCAGCTGTAACCAAAGGCCTCCCTCACATGGACTGCCCCAGCAACCAGGGGATAGCAGGTGCTGCAGTGCACACAGCTGTCTGAAGAATGGACCATTCCATGTCTGGATGATGAGATAGGTTCAGTATTGTTTGGGGTAGGAAATTCAAATCTGGCATCCCAGAAGCAGACCCTAGATTGAGTTAGTACATGTGGCTGACTGCCCTAGTGTATCTACAGTCAGTAAACAGTGTGTTGTTACATGCTCAAAACACCATCTAGATAATTTTCAATCTTTGGGAAGTACTTGTTCTGATTTTGGGATAATTACTAGCCGACACTGTCCAGTTTAAACGACTGTCCATACTCTCCACTTGTCATAGAGATTACTTGACCGATTGACCATCCAGTGACCATTAGGTAAGACAATATTTTTCTATGGTTTAATCCTGTTTCGATATTATAGGATGGTTACTGTAGGGATATGATTTGGTAATCTCGGGTCAGTTTCTGAAGGCTGTGCAAAATTGTTGTTTCAAAGATTATTAATTTCATTAGACTATCTTGGTCATTTGAATGTCCAATCATATGATTTCATAATTATCAAACCAAATCAAATAAATTTCTTTCA